CTTATATATATACATATGTCACCATCATATTGTGAAAAAAATTTTCAACTTGGTTCATTAGGTACACAAGGACGTCAATGTAATTTAACAATAAATGAACCAGGTTCATGTTCAATATTATGTTGTGATCGTGGTTATGAAACAATTGTTGATACAATTGAAGAAGATTGTGATTGTCAATTTTATTGGTGTTGTGAAGTACGTTGTAAACGTTGTATAAAAAAAATTGAAAAACATTTTTGTAAATAATTATTACATAGGACTTTTCTTTTGTATTTATTCATGATGTCAGATTAATTTGTTTGACCGAGTAACAGTTGAATTCACTTCCTTTTTTTGTTTGTTTTTGGTTTTATTTATATGTGTATAAATAAAAAAATTACTTTCTTATGCTTGATTAAGCATAAGAAAAATTTTTCTTTGTTTTTTTTTTTAATGAAAAGTAATCAGACAAGAAGAAAAAAAAAAGGGATTGTTCAGGTAATCTATGCTTGAGGGAATGTTTATATATTTTATTAATGAATTTGACATATCCATGAATATTTATTCAAAGATTAATTATTTAGTTTTCTAGAAGAAAAACAGCAGGTCGAATTATGAAATGAAAAGAATTATTAATGCTTATGATGCTGAAAACAAAAAAAAAAAGAGCATCTGTTGATTTTAATTGTATGGTTAAGTATACTTTCATCTCAGTTGGTAATTGGATAATTGTTATTCTTGATTGATTGAATATTGTAATGTATTTTTAGCAAAACAATTTTTATACTTAAAAATAAAAAAATAAAAAAATATATGTTTACATGATTATGTTAATTGATAGAAGAGTTATATTGAAAGGTTTTTGTCTTTGATAATTAACAAATTATGATTTAAGTGAAAAAAATTTACTTTTGCAAGGACAATGAAACAAACATTTTACTTACGTGTGAAAAAAATCTTTCCTATTGTTTCATTTAAGAATTAATAAAAATTAACGTTAAGCAATTTTTAATTATTATCTAATAGATTATAAATGAAAATGAGTGTGAAGACTAGAACTGATAGCGTTAAAACTTTCGGACTCAACCGGATGTGGGTTCATGGCAAACTTGAAAGGTTCTAATAAGAGTAGGTGCTGATGAGTTAAAATAATTGAATTTCATGTATGAAAATATTTTTCCTTAACTTTTTACAGTACAACGTCACAGATAAAAAAATGTATCATAGACAATTTTTTTATCCGAATATTCATTTCAGATGAGATGGTTTAAAATGTTGATAGGGCGAACATGTAATTTTGAAAGCATCTAAACCATAGTATGCAGTTCAATAATTACATACTTTCGGAGGATCAACGCGAATTTCATAGACTTTCAAATCTTGTCCAGTGATTATAAATCTAGTCTCTTAATAAAAAAATCCTTGAGACAAAGTCAGGATAGGTAGATCGTCCTATCGTGAAATCTTATAAATAAGATATTCAATTTTTGGTTTGTCTATTGACATTAATTTCTGTGTCAAAATAACATTTATCTTCGAAAAATATTTAAAAATGAAATACAATCATCTGCGAATTTTTCTTATTAAAAAAAAACAAACTTTTATTCATATGTGTTTTCATAAAGTAAAATCAATCCTTGAATTTGTATTTAAAAGAAAATTGATTTTATTATGCCTTCTGAGAAAATGTAAATTGTTCAAAGTATTTCAGTCTGCAAAAATGTTATACCATTTTGTTAATTATAACATATGAGAAAATTTTCATGAAAATATTAACAATTGATTCATATTGTTTAATTTAGTTGTGATTTAGATTATCTTTTGAAAATGTTTTATAGAAATGGTATGAATCATTCTAATGAAGAGAAAAACAATTCAAATCATACTTTTCTCGAAATTATTAAACTTTAAACACGCTCGTCTTCCAAGATTTTCTTTGTTGAATGTACAAGTATATCGACAAAGATGTTGAGTAAAAACTGGACATTTTTAGGTTTCTGATGATGTTTTTTGGTAGAAAAAGATAAAACTCCGAAGGCAAAAAACAAATCATGAAGTCGAAGGTCAACTATTTTATAAACATAACTTCGATTGAATTGATATAGAAGAAATTAAATTATCTATCCATTATATTATAGTTAGGAAAGTAAAGTTGATCTTCTTCTCCTTCATATTTAAGCAAATAAGCTCTCTCTACAAAAGTTTTGAAAATTCGACGTCTAAGTTGATGTAGTCAAAGAATACACTTTCTTTCTGGATGTCATTTATGGATGATTTCTAAATTTTCTTATGCAAAGAAATATTCATTTGAATCAATTTTCCATTAAAAAAGAATAAATGTGAAAATAATAAAACAAGAACAGAATTTATAAGCATATACCTATGCATGTATCTTTTTGATTAAAAAAAAATGTTGGGATTGATTGTTGAATCTTACTTTTAGCTCTTTCCCATTTGTTTTCATAGAAGAAACATTTAAGATGCTAGTCGAAAATCATATAATCAAAATTGTCTTCACTTTAATCTATTATCAATGTTTATTTCATGATTGTCAGTATCGATATCAAACGTAAAATAATGCATGATCAACTGTTGTTCGAAAAGTTCTACTGAAACAACAACCGAGTCAAGTGAAAAAAAAAAGAGAGGATAATTAGACGTATAAGCCGATGCATTGATTAGCAGTGGTAATGGTTGAAATTATTCGATAATTTTTTAAAAGCTTTTCTTAGTTCTATGAAAAGGAAGAAAATGTGAGTATAGAACGCAATGATAAGAAACTAGATATGAATATTGCTGAACGTTGTTTCTGGATGTTGAAAAATTTTAACATAGTTAATATCGATTTTTATGTCTCAATAGTTGTGATGTAGTTAGAAACTTTTCTTAAAAAAACGTGACTTAAGCAAAATATTGAATTATGTTTTAAATACTCTTTCTAGATTATCAAAAACATATCCTCATGGAGTACGATTTATGAAGTCATTTCCAAATTTTTCGTAATTTCCGACTCAGAAAATCTTATTATTTAGTATGATGCAACAAATCATCAAGACAATAATGATAATCATAGAAGAAGAAAAACGAAGAGTATCAAAAGGAGCAAAGAAAAAAAAAAAAGCTGATCAGATACTTTTCTAATATCGATGAATATAATTTGATTAATAAATGAAGAAATTTTATTTTCTTGAATGCTCTGCTTTGTTTTTTCTTTTTCTTACTGTCGGATTTTTACTAAAACGAAAAATTTGTAAGTAGGTTAACTATCTTTTTTTTTCAATAGTTACTTTAAGTAGTGCACAATACTATACATACAATTGATTTATTTATTTGTTTTTGATTATTTTAATGTTATCAATTAATTAATTTAAACATATAATTTGAAAAATAGTAATACATACATAAGGTGCACCAAGGGCAAAAATCGAGTGAAAAATTAAATTCCTTTTTTTACATATGGTTTGATAGAGCTCGTCAAGCTGATCATGAATATCACCTTTTTATCAATTTTTGGAGCAGAAAACTTCAAAATACAAGGGACGGCCGAAAAGGCAAGAAAATAACCATTATGAAGAAAAGTCTAAATTTTACCTATTTTCGTGCATTCAAACTTTTTCGAACTATTTTATTCAGATTCAGCATAACAAAATGAGTCTATTCAGATACTTTTTAGCTTATTTTCTCTCAATCGTCTCGTCCACAAGGCTCGACTAGGATAATCTAATGACTATGTGACATCTTGATAATGCAAAACTATGTAGTCTCTCATTTCTAATCCTTTTCCCAACATTCATACACCATTCGAAACGTCATTCGATGATGAAAAAAGTTATCGAACGCTTTTCTTCAAATTCTGTTCCCTAGCTGAAAAAAAAACAAGTTTTTCGAAATCGATGACAAAATGTTGAAAAATCGGACTCGTATTTCGAGTTTTTTACTATCACACATACATTTTCATGCAAAACAAATACGATATTCGGAATCAGCATAAAGAATTGCATCGAACAAGATATATCTTATCGAAAAACACTTTTCATCAAAATTCGACCGTACTTCCCCTCAGGTATTTTTTCCTCAGTTTTGTCCTATGGTCCCCCACGGGTCGAATGCTGATGGAAAATACTTTTCGATAAGATATATCTTGTTCGATGCAGTTCTTTATGCTGATTCCGAATATCGTATTTGTTTTGCGTGAAAATAGATGTGTGATAGTAAAAAACTCGAAATACAAGTCCGATTTTTCAACATTTTGTCATCGATTTCGAAAAACTTGTTTTTTTTCCAGCTAGGGAACAGAATTTGAAGAAAACCGTTCGATAACTTTTTTCATCATCGAATGACGTTTCGAATGGTGTATGAATGTTTGGAAAAGGATTAGAAATGAAAGACTACATAGTTTTGCATTATCAAGATGTCACATAGTCGTTAGATTATCCTAGTCGAGCCTCGTGGACGAGACGATTGAGAGAAAATAAGCTAGAAAGTATCTGAATAGACTCATTTTGTTATGCTGAATCTGAATAAAATAGTTTGAATGCACGAAAATAGATAAAATTTAGACTTTTCTTCATAATAGTTATTTTCTTGCCTTTTCGGTCGTCCCTCGTATTTTGAAGTTTTCTGCTCCAAAAATCGATCAAAAATTGATAAAAAGGTGATATTCGTGATCAGCTTGACGAGCTCTATCAAACCATATATAAAAAAAGGAATTTAATTTTCCACTCGATTTTTGCCCTTGATGCACTTTACAACGAGATAAATAATAAGTTGTCATTGGTAAAAACCTTTTTTTTTTTATGCATAGGAATACATTTCTCTTTCTTTCTTTTTTTTATAATATATCTTGTTATAAATACATGAGTCACTGAAAGAAAAACACACAAAAAAAGCAGCATACTAGATTATTCTTGTTTTTTTTTATCAACTGTCATATTTCAAAATATGTTTAATAAACTAATGTGTATTCATTATAATAGAAATATAATTTTGTTTTTTATTTTTTTCTCGAAGTTTCATTCATGTCTGAACAATCTTCAACTTTAACGACTGATCAAAATCATAATGATAATACTGAAAAAGTAACCATAGCAGTGACATCACAATCAGTGATAGAATCATCTTCTTCTGAAACATTCAATTCGGATGTTGATTTTCAAGAAATATATCTTTGTGCAAAACATAATCGTAACTGGCCTAAACTATCTAATGCATTAATGGCACATCCTGATTGGTTAACAGTAATTCCTGATGGTTTGTAACGAAAAAAAATTTTCAAATAATAAAAATTAAATTTTTTCTAGATCATCAATGGTCAATGTTACATCAAATAGTTTATTCTGGTAATATAAAACATTTAGATGAAGTTCTTGCATTACAAACAACTAATTCAAATTTTCGTCTTCTATGTGAAACACGAGATGGTAAAACTGTACGTGAAATTGCTGCTGAACAAGTAAATATTCATTCTGAAATGTTACATCATATTGAACAATTTATTGTTATTGATGAATTATTAAATAATGCTAAAAATCGTCGTTGGGATTTAGTTAAACAATGTATTACATTACGACCAGATATTGTTAATGAAAAACCACCATATCGTCGTTTTTATTTAATACATCATCTTGCTTATGTCGGAAATCTTGATATATTTAAAGAATTAAATGAAATTTGTCATTTTAGACTTGATTTATATGCTGAAAATCAAACAATCAGTCAACTTGCACGTCAACATAATAAAATAGCATTTGCTGAATATATTGAAAGTCTTCAAATAATAAACTTAAATAAAATAAATGAAGATACAAGTGTTCAAACTGTATCATCAAATTCAACAGGTATATTACATTATAATTTTGAGTTTTATGAGAATTTTTCTAAATCATCTATTTTACAAAATATTAATTTAAATAATACCGAATGGATATGTTTTATATTTTATTTTTTTGTTTACTATTGAAGCCGTTTTATTAAGATATATTACAAGATGTATCGTAAAAAGCTCTATGATTTACAGATATTAGTTTATTTTATATATATATATATTTCATGTTTTTCAAACAAACAAAAATTTTGTGTAACTCATTTTCAACGCTCTGAACAAGATCATTTTGTTTATGTACAATGAATTTCTTTTTTTTTTATTTCTACACTATTGTTGTAAAGTTTTTAACTTTATTATTATCTTTAGTACGTTTATATTTTATTTCTTTCTTTTAACTAATACA